CCCCACCCCCTAACGGTGGTTATCAAGGACAAGGACAAGGACCCCCACCCCCTAACGGTGGTTATCAAGGACAAGGGCCACCCCCTCCCAACGACGCCAGATACCAAGGACAAGGACCCCCACCCCCTAACGCCTCTCCAAACGGAGGATACCAAGGTGGCGGAGGCAGCAGCGGGGGATACCAAAGAAACAATCCAGTGCCGCTACCCAATGGAAGACCAGCCAATGGCCCCTCAAACCAGGCTGGCTCTCAGTACGGTTCTAATCCTGGCAACTCAGGCGCCCCAAGGCCTGGGGTAACGTACACCCCTGGTGGCTCACAGGGGAGTTACGGCCCTGGCTCTTCAACAAGACCAGGATCAAGTGGTGGCTCTTCATCCTCCCCCTACGGCAACCCTGGGACACAATACGGAGCAGTTAGACGCGAGACCGCTGGGGGTCAGGTCGGAGGCCCGGGGGATCAATACCCAGGGATATTTGGTGGCGCATCCTCACAGTACGGCAGAACACCGAACCGCCTCTCCTTGAGTTCGACCTACCAGGCAGTACCCTCAAAGACCACAGATGAAGTTCAACGTTGTAAGTAGTCTTCATTACTATGATTATATTCAAGGAAATGCCAAACTTGAGAAGCTGCAGGTTGTCGTTACAACCTTCTATAAAAAACAACTATACCTTGAAATTTGAGCAATTGCCCATTATCAGTTTGGTATGCCACATCCAAAACTAAAATATAGAAATATTTAAAAATACGTTTTCTACTTTGTGCTCTCATAATAAGGAAAATTCACTAGTCTGCACCTTTGTTACGATACTGACCTAAAACGAGAAACATACAACCCAAAAACGTTGAAATCTCCAGAAAAAATACATACTTTATGGGATTTTAATGGTTTTTCCTTTACACTGTATTTTTACTATGAGCAAATGTTAGATCATCGTTCTCATATCAGCCAGCTTGCCCCAGCTGAGGTAAACCGCTCTGACCTTTGGCACATGTCACACTTGGGCTATTCCTTAGCCCAACTGGCCCATGTAGTATTCTTTTACCCATCATTTACAGTACATTTATACACATAATCTTTCCTTCGTCTGTTTGTATGACCATAACGTTTAATTGAACATATTTTTGGTGCGCTTTAGAAGAGTTTTTTCCCACGGTCTCATTTGTGTGATTGCATTTATTTGTTTATTTACGTTTGTTTGTTTGTCTATTTGTTTGTTTGTTTGTTAGTTTGTTTACTTACGTGCAATGCATTTTACGTTTCAGCCTCAAATGGTTGGAGTAGCTGGTCCGATTACTCCAGCTGCTGTAGAGGGGTACAGTTCCGAATGCGACAGTGCCGTAATCCGGACTCTCTAGGTGCGCCCCCTTGTGATGGTTCCGCCATAGACATGCAGGCGTGTTCTCCGGCCCCCGGGACAGCGTATGAAGACAAGTGTCTTACCCAGCCTGGGAATTTTAACTACAACCTTCGGTAGTACTGCGAACAGTGGTGGAAAAGATTGAACTTGTGCTTGCTTTAGTTGGGATTCGAATCCCTTGGCTCTGAATTATACCTAAGGGCTTTTTTTCTCGGCAAAATTCTGGTTTTCTTGTTTCCAAACAAACGGGAAAACTGATTTTTACGCCAGAAATAGGTCGGCGTGACTTCCTTATGGTTCAAATGATGACGGAAGGAATGCACTAGTTGGGTGTTTCAACAAAAAAAGATGTTAACTCTTAGCAAAAATAAGAACAGATAAATTTGAATCTAAAGCACATGAATGATATGGAATATGCAACTATGCCTTTTGTGCAAGTAATTGGACGTATGACGTCATTACTATCGTCACCACTCAGGTGACGTAATCAACATAGGCTTTCATCTTAAAATGTTCACTCGGAATTGAGAAGCAACATTCTCGTTTTCCAAATTAGGTACGGGCTCTTAACTTTATTTATTGTGCCAACAAAAGTGCCTATGTGTTGATAACTTACAAGTTTCTGTGTACTTGTTTGACAAAAAAACATACTGTGTATGTTGAGGATTAGGGTGATTTAATTTAGAAATATATTTATTAAATTATATTAAAAAGTGTGATTGTTGCGTTTATATTGAGTAATATTTTTATAACATATTGTCAAATACTAGATAATATATGTAGAGTAAATTATAAATGAAACTTATCGTATGTATTTGGCAAGAACTTTAAAGATGTCAAATTACAGGATGAATTGAGCTCCTTGCCCTCATAAAACAGAAACATAACTGAAACACTTGCAAAAATCGCGTTTCATCTTAGGATATCAAATCCAAAAACCCCCTTATCTAAATAATGATTTTTCTTGAAAATGCGCATAAAAGTACCACTTTGATTCTGTTTACATACAATCAAGGGGTGTGAAGTAATAATTGACCACCCGTCACCAAGGCGATGTGATGCCATTAATCAACATTGCTTCATGGCTCGTACAACAATGTCTTTATGGAATGGTTTCTGACATGAAAATGCGACCCTATTATGCCAAAGATATCACTGAAAAATTCAAAATACATGTGCAAAAGAAAAAAAGTACAACAAAAAATCAAAACATTTATCCAATATCTACAACATGTTTCGTACCTTCCAAATAAAGTTTGAAAAATAATAGAAAACGTACATTTAACAGACACAATTGTTCTTGAATTTATCTTATATAACTTTGCTAAATAGCTATTATTCGGGTGAGACTGAACAGTTTCTGAAATGATATGAATCCCTCTAAATGAATGGAAATGACACGATAAATGTCACTTCTAATGGAGCATTTTCCCACAATATATCGTCGCTCTTTCTTTTCATAAATGAGATGATAACTAACAGCAGTACAACATTAAAAAATATGCAAATCATCAACGATAAAATTCCAAATATTTTCACCACGAAACACCATTTCCAAACTTAAATTAACTTAAATAATGTTAATAGATGATAACAGTAGATTTATGGATTTCTTTTGAGTGCAAGCTTAAAGGTATTCACTGAATTAAAACAGTGTCTAATCTTTCTTTTGATCCTTTCTTTCGTTTCCTTCTCCGGTGGTTACGTATAATTTCAGACAATACACGTTTCCTTGGAAACGGCCCAAGCAGCACCACCTCCTCGTCTCTGCTGTAGTTGGCTGGAGCCTCGGCGCTGTTTCGAATACCGTACGTGAAATAGATGACGATCCCTGGAGGAGAAAAATGTGATAGTTGTCACTCCTAACACAATCTAGAATATAAACGTAAACTTACCTTTACGAGAACCAGAATTTAATCTTAATACGTCTAGGAAAAGATGACAAAATTTTAGTCAAGTAATGCGTTTTACAAAGAAACTCAAGGGCAGCATATGGTATTTTACCTGGGTCCTCTGAGCAAATTGCATTTGCTGGGACAGTGTTTTTTTACTCCCAAAGGTGAAATTGAAGGCATTTTGTCGGGTCAAAGATCCTTAAACGCTTTTGAATTAAACTGCAATATCGCAATTACTTTACCAGTAATCTTATGTTAACCACGTGAAATGTATTATCGAGTAATGAGGTGGGGGTCGCAATAAATAAATAAATAAATAATTAATTAAATAAATGGACATGGTGGAGTCCCGTTCTTTCACACTACGTTGATTATAAGCAAGTAATATACATGTAGGATAAAATGTTTCTCTGCTCTTCTGTAGTTTACAGCATTATTTTTCACCAATATTTTACCCTTTAGAATGCACATGCGAAATATTAATCATATTTTTTACCATTATGAGTGCAATTCATCATTATCCATATCAATAATCCATTGTAATTCCCAGGCATTTTTTGTACTTTGTTATACAATCGTCTTAATCTGACTGGCATTTAATTCTCTTTACATCTATACAATGTGTTTAGTGTGTTGCCATTTTCAGCCGCTGCACTGTGATAATTTGTGCCAGGTGTCACAGTAGTGTTTGTTTTCAACATACCTACAACGAGCGAGATCCCTGTCAACAACCACGTCTTCTCGAGAATTCTCACGAGAAGATGCACCCCGACCACCACCGCCATAATTGGTATCCATGGGAACTGCGGCACCTTGTACGTAATGGCCCGGCTAGCCAACTCGTCCTGCGGCTGCATGAGAATGAACCCAGTAGCTGAGAGGATGATCATTGTGAACCCAGCGGCAAACAGAATGAGCCAGACGTACCGCTGATCACCGAGCCCCAAGGGCGCCGTTATCAGTGACACAGACAACCCTGCCGTAGACAAAAGGAGACCAAGCACTGCAAGTTTCACTTTTCGCTCTGATTTCACTGTAGGGGTCTTGTCCCCTGTGAGCCTGTTTGGTGCGCTAATGGCGGCCACCTTAATGCGGTCCTTGTATTCAGCAACTATTGCATCAATGTCAGTTTCCTCAGAACTATGACCTTCATCCATGTCTGACGATTCAGCCGTTGATTGGCTGTCTCTATTGCGCCTTTTCTGGCTTCTATGATTTCTGCCTTCACATTTGTCATCGTCTGTGTGGTCGTCTGCTGTGGATTCTTTGGCCATTTCTTGTCTCACTATGTCTATATCTTTCTTAATTGCATCTCTGACGTCAGACTGGTCGTTGACGTCAGTGTCACCGTAGCCAGGAAGTGACGTTTTATTGACGTCATCATCTTTGGCAAAGTCGTCGATCTCAATCATTTGAAATCTAGAGTAGAGGCAGGCCACTGAAGCCACTAAGTGATTCACAATTTCTATAGTTGCAGCCGTTAGAATCAACGTGAGAAGAGGACACAAAATGGCGGAGAAGGTCGTCACGATGCCGCAACTGAGTACGGCCACAGTTGGTCGGGAGGACCCCTCACTGTTCAGGAACAACTTCCAAAGGAGTCCGTGCGAGGTCAGTGACGTCACACTTATAACGGCGGAGATCAGACAATGGACAAGTAAGAATAACAATAGTGGTAAACTAACAGATGCGATCATATCTGTGATAACAATATTCTCGGTTCTTGCATAGGTCTCCAGCAATGGAGTTGTGTACGTCCCATTGGTTGTAGGAAACTCAGCAAGCGACACAATCACACTGGTCAGTGTCGTCATAATGGCGCCGAGTGACGTCATAGACAATACAACGAATAGTGTTGGAAACTTCATACCCCCAGCAGAGCTGACGCGGCGCATTGAAGTTCTCCTCGTGAACATGGAGGCAAAGATCAAGAAGCCATACCCGGCCCCAGCTAGCATCTGAAACGATTTGATTGTTTTCGCATGAAAACCCTTCAAAGAAAAGTAAGCATCTTGTCAATGATCAAAGGCACAAAACTACGTTACACAGTTAGAGTTTTTTCTACAACTGCTTAATTTTTGAAAGGTACTTTGGTGTCTAACATTTTGCAAAAAATACGTCAACAAAGGGATTATCTTTCAAAATGATGCTATCTCTTTTAAAATATACATGTACTCATTTCTAAGGACTCACTCCATCAGAGCCATGGAAGAAAAACTCTCCCTGGAAATTTCTTCTTCGAAGGTAAAAGAGCCCCGAAATCATGACGAAACCAACAGTTGTCATCACGAGTGCCGTCATCACAAAATGCCAGTATTTGTGAAGTTGACACATGCGCAGACAGAGCGCCCAAGTGCATGCCATCACTATGCAGCCCGCAAGGAGGTCTGGGTAATCTGACTGACCGAGCACCCAACCGAGGTCGTCCACGTAAAAGCTTCTGATTCGCAGTCCAGTGAGGAAGTCGATGCAGACACTGATCTGACGTGCACATGACGCCACTAGGAAGATGTTTTGCATAATATCGTCCCATCCGACGAGAAATGCCGAGAACTCTCCTGTGACCCTGTATGTGGCTGCATAGAGGGAGGTTTCTCTTGCGCGGCAGTACAACTCTAAGCAGCAAAGACCTGGAATGAATAGTGGGAGATGGGAAATATGGTTTGACGGGCATCATTGAACTGGAGTAAAATCAAAAATAAATAAATAAATGAATAAATAAATAAATAAATGAATAAATGAACCATGATTGATGATGATGATAATGATAATAACACTAATATCAATACTACTAATAACTTATCTAAACAGGTGTCTGTAATTCATTAGTATTAATTAGCTAACATTATATCCATAATATCTGGACGATAAAAGTTGAAACAATTTCCTGCACAAGTTTGATCTCGCCCAGACGTTATTTTTGCGGTTTACATGAGATACATACAATATGAGCAGTAACAAATCATTACAACCTCAAAACATTCACAATAAAATGACAACATAAAAAGTGCGGTTAGAACAGGAGAAAGAGTTCTCAAGTGAAATGTCATTGAATTGAATAAATCTGTGCTCACATAACAAACCAAAAAAGTTCAAAAGCAAAAACCCCAAAATGTCACTGTACTGAATACGGCAGCGTTCACGTTACGTTTTCAGACAGGCCAATTATTGATTTTTGAAGTTCTAAAAGTACATACCATGAGGCGCAGGTGCCAAATACTCGATAATCGTCTATTGCACACACGCAATACACTTTAAGAGCGCCATTCGTGTTAAAACGTTAGCTTTAAGCAGATCGTGAAACTTTTACCTAACTAACGGAACTCGCCTTTTTAAAAAGTGCACGCATCCTCAACGTGATTTACCTACCCACGAATTGAAGCAAATTATTAGGGATTGCTATGGCGACAAATTGGGATAGACTGACTAAATAGGAGACGCTTTAAATGTCACGTGCACGGGAAGCAGCTTTGTAGGACATAGAAAACATGACTTTAGGAATTTATGAACGCGTACAGTATACCTTCATTTAAAGGACATAAAATATAACTACCGGCACTTTATCAATAAAACTCTTAGGTATTGCAGTCAAAACAAAATGTGGTACAATAATTTTAATACACATACAAGACTTTGTTTAAATCATTTACTGACACTGATTTAAACATACCAAATAACACCATTGACACCCTAGAAGAGAGACAATTTGACAAACACGTCGTTATCTTTCTGTATTTACGTGTACACTGACTGTATCTAGACACATGACATTTTACGCTTGTCTAACCGCCCGGAAACCGGAACAACACGGACATCGAGTCAGACTGTTTTGTTTGTTTGTGTTTATTTTTGTGGTTGGCATTCACAGGCCGGTTTCACAAAATATTACACCTCTGAAATTGGTCCCAAATTTTTAACCAAAAAGCAGTCTTCTTCAGATGAAAATTGATCCATTGAAATAACGTTAAAACAAAGGGTTGTTCAGAAGCAATGGTTATCTTGTTCTTGTCGTAAATTGAGCACATTATTAAATTTCATTGGACTAGTGTCAAAATAGACCGAAATTTTCGTCTAAAAGTTTTAGGAATTTTTTTGGCTAACCTTCCGTTGTGACACGGGCCCCCAGCAGCACTGCCAGACCCATTGTATTCCGTTTCTTAGGCTTTATTTTATCCCGAAATGAATATTGATTGCTAGTCGAATGACGAAAAGGCTTTATTTTTATCCGGAAGTGATTGAAATTGCTGCTATTTGAGTGGTGGTTTATTGCATGAAGAACATGAACAACAGCAAGTCAAGAAATGTGGTTATGGAAGCTGTTTACCAACACGACTTGACTTGGTTTGGGTCTCACGCAATAGCAAACCGATCTGTAGGAAAATCATGCTAACTTGCAGTTGTTATCATGCCTTCTCTGCTTTGAATTTTCTTGTAAAAATCTCCTCTCAAAGTTTCCCTCACAAGTTAATTTAAGTTTTATCTTTACTTACTTTGCTCTTGCTATACCGCATGTACTGTATATACATTGGTACCGTGGTATCCTTGCATTTTGTTTAAGACTTGTCAGTGTAAAATTCTGACAAATGCAAAAATGTATCATTAAGAGCTAAATGGATTATTATTATTATTATTATTATTATTATTATCATTATTATTATTATTATTATTATTATTATTATTATTATTATTATTACCTCCCCGTGAATTTGAAAATAAACTGACTGTAGAAGATACCTTTATAAATTGAAAAAGTGAAGTAGAACGACTCAAAATCACTCTGTGTAAACGATCCTATAAAAGCGGTTTGCGTGACAGTCATGTGATAGTCATGTGACAGTTATGTTGTATAATTCATGTTGAATTCCACCACTTATAGTACTTTATTACAGCCTGGATATGAAAGTGAATATGCATTAAATTTGGGTCACCGCTCTCTCTCGCTCTCTCTCTCTCTCTCTCTCTCTCTCTCTAGTTGATTGCGACTAATGAAAAGAATTTCGTCAAAGTCTAGATCGATCTTATATGGCTATCTGCTTTTTAAACTTAAGATAAAAAACATACAAATATATATCAAGCGCGATGTGGTGTCTCTTTTAACGGGTTGCCAGATGACGCGAGTAAGCCCGATTTTCAGTCCTAAGTCCTGGTTTGAGCACACCTCTGGGTAATATTCCACACTTGTATGCCAGGGTGTCATGTTAGCTACACGAGTGCGTTGACAGCTTCTGATGTATGAGAAATAAGATCTAAGATAAATAGCTGAGAAAATAGTATATAGCGGTGAAATTAAAACAGGTTTGCGTACATTTTTTCCCTGAATGCGAAAGAGATCTACATGATCTATATAGAAAAACATGCAAACTGTCCTTTTTCTTGTGACTTGCAATGCAAATTTTCTTCATTCAACATACAAAACTAGGCCGAATTAGCCAGTGAATGGATTTTTGAATCACGTTTTTTATCCGCACGTCTCAAAAATTAAACTGGAGAACCCAAGATAATATTACTAACGTGGATTCTGAGTCTAGACGACGCTTTAATGATTTAGGCTACTTACAAAAAGACCAGAATAAATAGACACAATAAAGAGAATAAACATAGCGCTAAGGGTTGTTAATTAAACTTCTCATCGCGGCACTGATGATACCCGCAGACGAAGCAAGCAATTTACATTGTCAAAAGCTAAGTAAATATTCATATGTAATACTGTCTACGTATTGATTGTGACCGTGAGTTTTCTTTCGTCAGATGAAAAAATGTACACCATAGTGTAGTCAGAGCTGTTATTGTAGCGTCTTTTTTTCACGTTTTCTATACGTAGTGCTTTTTGACCAAATGATTAATCACGGCTGACAATTTATCACAATCTATCTGTGACAAATAAATAAATGATAAAGCCTCCCGTCTAACACTATATCATAATGTAGTAGCTTTCATTATGTATTAGTCGGATTATTAGTGGTTATTGGAGAAAGTCTATTGCATTCTAATAAAGAAGGGGGATGGAGAGCTTTTTTTAACATAGAGAGAGGTTTGCTTGTACGCGCGCGCGCGCGTGTGTGTGTGTGTGTGTGAGAGAGAGAGAGAGAGAGAGAGAGATGAAAAGAGTTAGTGTGTGTGCGCGTGACTGGCAGATCCGGGTTTTTTTCTGAGTGACAGGAGAAAGATAAGCGATTCAAAGAAATCAAAGAAGGAAAAATGATGGGGCGAGATAAGACGATAAGCCAGAAATCTATCATCAAATATCACCCAGCTTTGACAATCACTCAAATTACCAGGACACCAAAGTTGACAATACGACACACTCAGTTGCGACGCAGAGTCCCGATGTCTGTGTGTCATCCAGGAAATGGGAATGCGGGATATTGAAAAAGGATTTGTGCGATATTAAAAAAATCATATAGGCGTTTAGATGCATCTCTTAATTAGCCAGCTGCAAAGACATGGATCACAATACCAGCATAGACTGTACCTTTGATGTATGCAATTTACCCTGAGTGTCAAATAGCACTGGAGCCTCGCCTGTATATAATCACCACACCTGGTATTGGCAGTATAGAGCTTAGATAATAGTAACCTTTTAGACTCGGAAACTCCGGGTGCTGCAGTTTCATTTGATGACTAAAACCACTATGATTTTGAATCTTGCTACATATTCAGTTGTGAAGATTATTCGCCATCTTTTACCAAATATCAAAATGAAGTAAATAACTGATAAGAAATAAGATACATAAAGAACTGATAAGTAAATACATAAAAACTGATAAAAATAAATAAAAATAAATAAATAAATAAATAAATAAATAAATAAATAAATACAAGAGCAAATATCCTCCCAGACTTTCAGCAAGCACGCAGAAGTTTCCAAAAACAAAAATCTTTATAATAACTGAAATATGACGCTAGGTCGGTGAATACACTCTCCATCCTCTCTTTGACTGCAATTTCCAAACATTGGCCTCAGTTGGGACTGCGGTAACCAGACTTGAGAATAATTGGTGTAACTCTGATTTCACACCGCATTATTCCCCAATAAATGGTGAATTCATGTTTCAGTGGGGTTGTGGGATATGCGGTTAGAAATCCAATGTTGCTTTTTATGAAAGAGATTAAAGGGATAACCACTAT